AAAATTTGTCTAATCATCGCCATCAATAATGTGAAGACATCACTTTAAAATTGTACATAGTAAATAGGTTTTAAATTGTATAAAATAAGATAGTCCTACACATGTAGTTTATGACTCCGTGTTAACTTTTTACTTGAAACGTACAAATTTTTGGAAAAAAATTAATTATAGCAAGCATAATACTATTTTAATCAAAATATATTCGCTTATTCCCTCCAAAACATTGATGATGTGATCTCAAAATTTTGCCTAGTAAATACAATATGCAAAATATGATCAGTCTATACTTGTGATTTATCACTGCATTCATATTTTTTAGATTTGCTTCAATAGGGCGACTCTAAAAAATGACTGAGTTGTTAAAAAATAAACAACCAATTAGATTTAGGAATTTAACTCGGTACTATGGAAATCTGCAATGTAACACTTTTAAATTTAACAAGTTTTTACAAGTTTAAAAGCGGCAAAATCAGTTTTATCTTAGCAAGTGCTAGCCCCGCCCACCCGCCCTCTGTTTTCTCCGAGAATATTAGGCCAGTGCCGAAGCCTTTGAAAATGGTAAAAAGTGAAAAAAATTAGAACAGGATGATACCCATTGGAAAAGGAAGAAAATATAACAAAAATAAAAGGAAAAATAATTTACGGGCGATCTGAGGTCGGGCAGTGGAATAGGGGGAGCTTTTAAGGGTAGAAAACGGTTTATCACGATTTCCGGCAAAACTACAAGTCCTATCGCAAAAAGTTAAATGGCAAAGTTGTAGGTAATAAAAAGATCTACAACTTTTGTATTTACACTTTCTTTACATAACCTCAAAATTTATGCGAAAAATGCAAATAACCGAGTTTTTGGTTTTTTATTTTTATCTCCCACAAATTTTTTTTTTCGCGAAATTTCGTGAAAACTTACCTATTTATGTCCCAAACTCATTGTAATTTTTTTGATTCAAAATATTTATTTTTTCGCCTTAATTCGATTTAATATCGAAAAACCACCCCAATTTTCAATCGAAAATTTTCACGTCAAAATATTTGCTTTTTTAAAAAAATCGGTGTGCTTTTTGTTCGCTGAAATCTCTACTTTCTGATGGTGTAAAAAAAAAAATACATTACTATGGCAAATTTTCACAGGAAATGCAAAAAAACGAAGAAACTCGAATTCAAAAAGTTGTTTCTTAATTATAATGTAAAATTTGGAGCCATTTATTAAAATTTACACGTTAATTACTTGAAAAACGTAAGACTCCATGTTACATTGACGAATTAAAAAATTGCAAATCGAAATATACTACTATAATTAACAACCAAATAAGTTAATAAACTTAATATTTTATAAGACATCTACAATATTTTGTTAAAGTTGTTGGATAATTTTTAAGTTATATGCATAGGTGCCTATTTAGTGCCATTTTAAGGTAACTTATATACCTGGAATGGCTTACGGAAAATTTTAGCCCATCAGAAGAATGAACAACATCGTTTATAAAAATACACGTGCAGGCTGAGTTACTTGAAGAGAATCGTGACGAACTGACTTATTTAAAAGAAATTTTTGGAATCTACAGTCACAAGGATTTTCCTGTAAACAAGCAGAACAAGATGTTGATGCTGATATAATTAAGATCTCGATAGAAACTGCCAGAGATACAAATAAAACTGTCACAGTTTGGGTCAAGATATTGATCTTTTGGTCCTTTTGAATCAATTGAAGAAAAACATCGTAAATTCATTGTCTTCTAATATATAAAATTCTCGTGTCACAGTGTGTGTAACCAATCTCCCCCGAAACGGCTTGACTGATTTTTATTAAATTTTCTGTCTATATTCGGTAGGTCTGAGAATAGGTCGAACTAATTTTTTATACCCTTAGGTGATAAGAATGGTCCACCCAAAAAAATTTGGGTGGGCCACTCCACAGCCATCTTGCAATAGGGTTGCAAGATGGTTGTTGAATATAATCATTGTCGTACGATAAATTTTTATGTATAATTTAATTATAATTTATTTTTCTACCGCCCACGTTTTTTGGTTTTCTAATAGAGCTATTAACGCACGCAAATGACGTCACAGCAGTTCGTTAATAGCGGAAAGGCGTTCTTTAATAGATCTGGTGTAATTTAGATCGGTAAGATTGGTAGCAATGACGAGAAATGTCAGGTGAATGTCAGTGGCAAATCTAAACTTAAAATTTCCCATGTTTCCGGACGCGTAACTTCTTCGCAAGACATTTTAACCAATTTTAAATTGCAAAAACTCGAATTGGTTCGAATTACAATTGTTGTTGTGAAAATTCGAACCTCAAATATTTCGTGGTTAGTGTCAGACCGACCCATCACCAACCACGACAAAAGTCCCCAGATTAAAAAAAATGCAAATTTCAATTAAATTTTGGGAAAAAACGTGTGCGGTAGAAAAAATAGTATAAATAACTCGTTCATAAGGTCATTGAGGCACTCATCCTTTATATAACTCGCGGCTTCGCCGCTCGTTCTATTAACTTGGATTCGTGCCTCAATATTTGCCTTATGAAACTCGTTCTTTAATATACTATTATTTATTTTAATTTAATTTTTTATTTAAAAACCAAAATATTCATTAGAAATAATCTATATGGCAAAACAACGTTTGCTGGGTCTGCTAGTTAGACGATAAAAATTTGTCAAATTTGGCCAATATTTTTTATAAAAAACATGCAAACAAAGAAGATATCGCAAAAAATGGATTACAATTAATCAAATATACTTATAAATGTATAAATGGCAATATAACCCTGAATCAATTAAGATTTCGAAAATCAATTAGCAAGAATTAAATCATCTTTCATATTGACAAATCTCCCACCAACAGAAGGCGTATGTTTCATTTTCAATTTTTTGGTTTGTCAATGTAACATGGAATCTTACTTTTTTCGAGTAATTAAAGTGTAAATTTTAATAAATATCTCAAAATTTTACATGATTAAAAAAAATTCGGATTCAAGTTTTTTCCTTTTTTTGGATTTCCTGTGAAAATTTGCCATAGTAATGTATACCTTTTTACAGCATCAGAAACTAGAGATTTTAACGAACAAAAAGCACACGGACTTTTTTAAAAAACCAAACATTTTGACGTGAGAATTTTCGATTGAAAATTAGGGTGGTTTTTCGATATTAAATCAACATAAGGGCGAAAAATAAATATTTTGAATAAAAAAAACACTACAGTGAGTTTGGGACATAAATAGGTAAGTTTTCACCAAATTTCGTGAAAAATTTTTTTTTTGTGGGAGATAAAAATAAAAAACCAAAAACTCGGTTATTTGCATTTTTCGCATAAATTTTGAGGTTATGCAAAAACAGTCTAAATACAAAAGTTGTAGATCCTTTTATTACCTAAAACTTTGCCATTTAACTTTTTTCGATAGGATTTGTAGTTTTGCCGGAAATCGTGATAAACCGTTTTCTACCCTTAAAAGCTCACCCTCTTTCACTTCCCGACCTCAGATCGCCCGTACATTATTTTTCATTCTTTTTTGTTATATTTTCTTTCTTTTGCAATGGGTATCAGCCTGTTCTAAATTTTTTTGTTCTCAAAAATTATCGGCACTGGGCTATATGACATCTGTCAAAATAAGTTTTACCTTAGCAAGTACTAGCCCCGCCCACCTGCCCTCTATTTTCTCAGAGGGTATGTTATTTGCCAAAATAAGTCTTATCTTAGCAAGTACTAGCAAGGTCTACCCTCTGAGAAAATAGGCGGGGCGGGTGGGTGGGCCTAGTACTTGTTAAGATAAAACTGATTTTGCCATTATTAATCTTGTAAAAACTTGTGAAATGTAAAGGTGTTAAATTGCAAATTTCCATAGTAACGAGTTAAATGCTTAAATCTACCGGAAATGTGCAAAATATCATGAGTTTTTACTCGTGAATTATTATCATTGTAGTTATATTTTTTAAATTTGCTTATACAGGTGGCTCAAAAAAATTAATGAATGTATCAATTTATTTTACTGATTAAATTAGCAACGGTCCACTCCATTTTCCCAGAAAATTTTGGGAATACAATCTGTTATTTTCAGTATTACAGTGCACCAATCCAAGTTGATATACGTGTCTTTGCAAAAATGTCGGTGACGTCATCACAAAATTCTGTAAAGTAAAAACTCAACTCAGTACTGTTTCACTGTACTTTAGGTGCGAGGGAAGTTCTGTCGAATTTTTTTAATTTCAAAACTAATTTATTTGGTCCCTCTACTACACTAGTTTTTCGTTTTCTTCAAATTAAAGCAAAAATGCAATTAAGTATGAAATGACATTGTTCTACACCATGGGTCCCATCACAACGGGTGTACTTTTTTTAATTCGAGCCATTTTATTGTGTCAGTGACCTAAAGAATTTAGTACGAATATCTTCAAACAAACAAACTGTGAAATGAATTCGACTGTGAATAATCTCTGCGGTTACTATTACAAGATTATGTTATTATTTTTTAAAGTATTTGACAATTAAAGAGATCCATGATTCAGGAAATTGGTTTCGGTATGGTTTTTCCAGTAATAATACTTCTGTGAAGCATCAATTAAGCACTACGCAATAATTGTTTTCTTAGAAAGAAGAACAATGATAAGAGGTGAACATATTTTTTGAACAGTCACCGTAAACGAAGGAATGACGACATTATTAAAATGTGTAATAAATTTTCATCGAGCTTAACTAGCCAGTGGAAGATTTTATTGGAAAGCGTAATAATTAAAAAAATATTTTAATACATCGAGATATCATATGACGTCATTGACGACCTTAATTGGATGAAGAAATATATTTCAAAAACACTGCTTCGTATTCAAAAAATTCGTATTATTAGTTTTGGATGATTAATTCTTACTGGTAACAAAAAATCATCGACTATGCAAAGTCTTGGAACGACCCGATGCGAACTGGTTTAAAAGTTTTTATTTGCACTGCAACAGATGCAAGAATCTCAGAGCTCGCGACACTAATCAAACTACTGCTAAAGTGCAAATTCCCGTTTATCTTAATATTTAACTTATTTTGTATTCATTTCTTCCATTCCCGGTATATGCAAATTTATGGCATACTCCTGTACTGTTGCCAATTAAAAACCAACGGAACCACGCAACCAGGTCAATACTAATCTATAAAATCAAGAGACATGCACATGCGACAGTCAGTAAAATGAAAAGTTTAGGTGTCATCATTTCCCTGTACCTCATATATCTGGTCACCACCCATCCAACAGAAAAAGTTACTTACAATGGGAACCAACTATGGAAAATTACCAACGACAATAAAACCACATTGAAACTACTAAAAACTCTAGCGAAAGAAAAATGTAAGTACCGGTGATTTACTCTTTATACAAAAACCTCACTTCTTGTAGATTTAACTCTTTGGGCGTTAAACGCTAAAAAAGTCGACGCCATGATCGACCACAAATACGTAACCCAAGTTAAAGAGAAACTCCTCGAAAACAACCAAAAGTACGAGGTTTCAATCGAAGATGTACAAAAAGCTATAGACGAAGCAAATCCCAAACCACAGGAAGATCTTGACGGACGTAAAGGCTACCGTCTCACGTGGAATTACTACCACAACTTGGACGACATTTACGACTATCTGCACTACTTGGAGGCCACTTTTCCTAAATTATGTACCGTCACTACAATTGGAGACTCAGTCGAAGGGCGTCCCATTAAGCTCCTGCGAATTTCGAACAAAAATCCCAACAACAAAGCTGTGTTCGTTGAAGGTGGAATTCACGCTAGAGAGTGGATATCGCCAGCTGCCGTCACTTACATCATAAACCAATTGATTAGCAATTATGACGACGAACCATCTTACATTAAAAATCTGGATTGGTATTTTGTACCAGTTTTGAACCCTGATGGATACACGTATACGTACAATGTGGACAGGTTGTGGAGAAAGAATAGAGCACAAAGTAAGACAAGCGATTGTGTAGGTGTCGATCTTAATAGGAACTGGGGGTACGACTGGGGTAGCAACGGGTCGTCGACTGATCCTTGCAGCAATTCGTACAGGGGGACAAAACCGTTTTCGGAACCTGAAACCGCATCTGTTGCTAAATTTTTTATTAATAATCCAGACATCCAGTGGGTTGGGTATTTAGCAGTGCATTCCTATGGACAGTTTATTGTCTATCCTTGGGGCGATCCGAACAGAATTGTGGAAGATTACGAAGACTTAAATGATGCAGGAATCCAAGCAGCCGAGGTAAGCGAAATGACAGTTTCCCTTTAGTTACTAGAGTTTTTGTTTTTCCCAATACTCACTGAATTTAACTAGTCGCAAGTAAGTTTTAATATATTTGTGACAGAATATACTGAGTGCCGGTGGCGAAACCTATACTGTTGGTCCAGCAGGACTAGTCATCTATAAAGCAACAGGAATTTCAATGGATTGGGCTAAAGGTTCTCAAGCAATTAAATACGTTTTTACAATAGAATTAAGAGATAAGGGAAATTATGGGGTGTTACTTCCAGCAAAATACATTAAAGTTGCTAGTGAAGAAGCTTTAATTGTAGTGAGAACTGTAGCACAAACCATTAATAACCTGTCTGTACGTGAACTATTGAAATAAATTAATATATAAAGAACACAACCTTAATAATTGAATGTTTCTTTTAAAGCAATATTAAATATTTTCCGACGCACCCAAACATATCTAAACCCACATAAAAACTTACCGCATATATTGTTTACAAATTTATTAATATGCCGTTATTTCCATTTACAATTTGCACTTATGACCTGGTAGAAACTGCAGGTACCCTGCGGATTATTTTATTACTGTGTTAATTTACGCTGATTAATTATTTTTGTTTGTTTGTTTTAACAGAGAATCATCCAAGGTGGAGGCGAGCCCTACACAGTTGGTCCTGTGGGAATTGTTCTATATAAAGCGTCTGGAAGTTCAATGGATTGGGCTAAAGGAAGTGCAGCAATTAAATTCAGTTTTACTCTGGAATTGAGAGACAGGGGACAATATGGTTTTATTCTTCCAGCGCAATTCATCAAACCGTCAAGTGAAGAAGCTTTGATTCTTGTTAGGGTTGTTGCTGAAGCTGCCGCAAAAACATTTACAAAAAAATAATAAACAATGGAAAATATATTCGTTGTTTCATTTTGCTATTATCACCGTTGTAGCGTCATTGTAACGGGTGTGTAATATTTATGTATCGTTTTTCTCTGATTACTGTGAACTTTTAAGTGGACTTAATCAGAAAGACAAAAATTACTCCGATCGACAGTGGATTTCTAACTTTTATAAAATATAAAATGGTGGTGGATGAGCGAAAAGGGAGTTTTGAAAGTTTTTCTGAAGAGCGAGAGGAGATTGTAGGAAGGAAATTGGCCTCTGCACATTACTGCTAGGGAGATCAAAGGATTGTGGTTGTTTTAGCCGATAATTTGTTATTTTGGCCCTTATAGCCTGGCAGAGAATAGAGACAGTATATTTTTAACTATTAACAGGAGGGTTATTTATTTCTGTTGCGGCCTTTCACGATATTCATCGGAGATCCGCTTCACTATGGCGTCTATTTTGTCAATAACCGAACCTTGATGTTAAAAAAGTAGATTTATCCAAGATAATTTTTTGATTTTTTCCTTATTTTTTTTTGAGTTTTGTGTCAGTCTTGTATGTACCTATTGTATGTTGAAAAATCACTCAGATTTTGAATATACATACAGGTATACGGTCAACTGAGAGTTGGCGTCCGGTGCGCTCCCTACGACAGTAACAGTTGGGTTAATGGATTCTGCTAACCTCGAAAATTCGTTGGGTAACTAACACTAGTGTAATTTTCTTTAATTAAACAGAGTAAAAGTTCATCTTTTTATCAAAGAGGGTGTGGTTTTGATTGATTAAAGGCGATAATGTTGTCAATTTTGAAAATTTACAAAAAAAGGGGATAAAATGTAGGCACCATCGAAGAGTTCCTAAAAATCATTTATGTATAAGCATTCTTATTATCTGCATCTGCAAACAATACCGATGGTCGCCCAGACTTTTTTTATTGCTTCGCATTCAGCTTATTATATAAAACATTGGATTTGATTTTAATTTTTGATTGTGTAGTTCACAATTGGTTGATTATAACTTGTCTATACTACATTCACGAAACCTAGTCAGCGCAACAAAACAAATGCACGTCTGTAATGTTAAAGTAAATCAAATTGGGTTGGTGCACTGTAATACTAATAATAACAGTGTTGTATCTGCAAATTTTCAGGAGAATGGAGTGTTTTTACATTAAGTTTTGGAAACAACCGAAAATTGGCTGAAATTCTCACTGAAAAATCTTAATTTGAAAAAGTCAACAAAATCGGGGATATCAATTTCGATGTGCTTATCCCAAAAATATAGCGTGATCATCGTTTCGTGGAAAGATTTTAGAAATGTCCGGTTTGAAAATATATTTTTTTTGAAATCCAAAAAATTACAATATGTATTCCATTGGGCTATTCTGGCAAAATGGTATGAGTTATCGAAGAAATGAGGCCGGTAAACCAACTTCTTTAGGTTGAAATCTTTAAGAAAATATCTTTACGTTTCGAAAATGACCGAAAATTGGTCGAAATTTTCAAGTGATAAATCTTGTTTTTAAAAAAATCCCGAATTTTTCTGTAGAATTCGACTCCCAGATTATTTTATGCTTCATTTCTTCGAAAATTGCCACCATTTTTCCAGAATCGTCAATTGAAATTTAAAATTTGCACAAGACAATTTCGTTTTTAAATGTCGTCCAAAAATTAAAAAAAAAATTCACGTGCTGATTCCAAAAATATAGCGTGGAGCAATATTTTCGAAATATTCCGAGTGAAATTTGAAAAATGTATTTAGTTTCGAAAATTGTCGAAAATGGGTCGAAATTTGCGTAAATTTTTTATTCTTATATATTTAAGTACCTATTTACATAGTTGAAAATTTCATTTTTGAAAAAGTCGTCTAAAAATTCTCAAAAAATTCAGGGTTATAGATATTGACGTGCTGATTCGAAAAATGTAGCATGTTTTAGGGTCACGGAGCAATATTTGCGAAATATTCGGAGTGAAATTGAAGTTTTTTGGAAATTTTAAAAATTGCGGCATTTCGAAATTTACAAGAAAATGTATTTAGTTAAATTTCGAAAATCGTCGAAATTTTTATAAGGGGATAACCTCAAAACTGCGAGATTCCGAACCATTTTGGTTTTCCTCTTCCAAACATAAATTATAAAATATTGTACAATCTGGATATCAACTCAACTCGGATTCATAGCGCACATGTACGGGAGCTATTTTATATTCCTAACATTTCAGTAATTTTTCTTGGTGTAGCATTTCGACCAGATCTTTCTACTCTAACAGTTTCTGGACCTCATCTTAGGATGTCTTCTGTCTAGTCAATCTACTTGACGCTCAACATTTTCACTTTTTAATTCTGCTTCGTTGAAGCTTTCGTTTTCAATTGCTTTCCAATTTTGACAGTAATAATAGACAATAATTTCGGAGTTTCAACTCAGGTCCGGTTAGCATTTTTGAAAAAATGCTCTAAAAATTCTCAAAAAATTGTGGGCTATAGATCTCGACGTGAAAATGGGTGGAAACTCGCCCACTCACCCCTCCTTAATTTAATGACTACTCTTTATATTGTTCAGTTCTATTTTAGCAAAGTTTTAGCCCCGCCCACCCTCCCTTCATTTTCTTCAAAGATATGTCATTTACTAAAATCAGTCTTATCTTATCAAGTACTAGCCCCGCCCACTCACCCTTTCTTTATTCCAGTGACTACTCTTAATATTGTTCAGTTCTATTGTAGCAAGTTTTTTCGGGAATATTGTAAAATGACGTCATCACTTTTGAAAAGGGGGCGCAAACAAATAAGTTTTAAATAACGATTTACTATGTTTCTGATTATCTTAACACGTTTGCAAGATTCCAGGGCGCTCGGTTTTGCAATTTCAAAATTAGATTATAAAATGTTGCTATTCAATTTTGATTTTTTTCCAGAAATTGGATGACTAGGGTAAAAACTTCACACGGATTCATAAAACACAAGTACAGGAATATTTAATTTTTTCAAATTTATTTTTTTTATAATTTAATCGGTAAATTTTTGTGATGATCTAATTTTTTTCGAAAATTTTGGTCCGGGACCATAAACGAGCTATATTTTTCAAATCAGTACGTCGAGATAAATATCCCAGAAATTTTTGTGGATTTTTATGGCAATTTTTCAATATGTACTTTATGAAATTTTTGATCAATTTTCGGTCACCTAAAATTATTAGCTAAAGACATTTTTTATACTCGTAATATTCAGAACCAAAAGTTATTTTATGCTTCATTTCTTCAAAAATTCCTACCATTTTTCCAGAATAACCAATTAAAATATGACAATTTTTTTGAGTATTACAAATCTTTATATTTTCCGAATTAGCACCTAGAGATCTACATCCCAGATTTTTTTTTTATTTTTTAGAAACTTTTCCAAAATCTAAATTTTTCAATATTCCACTGTGAAATTTTGTGTCATTTTTCAAACACCTTCAAAAATTAGATAAAAACATTTTTCGTAGATTTAGATTCCCAGAAGTTATTTTATCCTTCATTTTTTCGAAAATTACTACCGTTTTTCCAGAATCGTCAATTGAAATCTTGATGTGCTGATTCCAAAAATATAGCGTGTTTAGGGCCACTGAGCAATATTTTCGAAAAATTCGGAGTGATATTGAATTTTTTTTAAATGGTTAAAAATTGCGATATTTCAATTGGCGATTCTGGAAAACCGACTGGAGTTAAAAATAAAATTAAAATAAATTTGCCCACCCACCCCTTCTTAATATCAGTTCTACCTTAGCAAAGTTTTAGCCCCGCCCACCCTCCCTTCATTTTCTCAAAGGATATGTCATTTACCAAAATCAGTCTTAACAAGTACTATCAATAAAATAAATTGACTCATTCATTAATTTTTTTAGCGACCTGTTAAGCAAATCTAAAAATTATGAATGGAATGATAAATCACAAGTACAGATTCATCATATTTTGTACATTTTAGATAGGACATATTCAGAAAAATTTTGAGGTGACGTAATCAATTTTTTAGGGGGGGATGAGGAAATATATTTGGACTAAAAATTTACCATGCTTATCATAACTGTAAATCATCTGCAAGATTTCAAAGCATTCGGTTTTGTAGGTTCCAAATTAAATTGCAAAATGTTGTTTCATAATTTTGAATTTTTTTCAAAAAATCTGGACGTTTCGGGTAAAAACTCAATTCGGAGTCATAAACTACAGGTGTAGGACCATGTTATTTTATACAATTTAAAACCCATTTACTATGTACAATTTTGAAGTGACGGCATCACATTATTGGTGGGGATGATTAGACAAATTTTGGTTAGCGTTTTACAATCTACCTAATATAAATACAAAATTTGACAACAATCGATCCAGAACTTTCGGAGATTAATCTATCTAGTAAAAATCCGGGACGGTAGACAGACGTACAGACGGACAGACAGATGGAAACCGGAGACCTATTTCTTCGTCTTCTAGGGGTCATGAAAGGTCGAGAAAATGTAAAAATAGAGAGTCGGTCGACAATTACAATACTTCCTTTGTTTACGCTCCGGAAGTAAAAATAATGAACATTTAAAATTTCTGGACAAAATTTCTCAAGACGCTGAAAAAACGATAGAAAAGTCATTTTTCTTATGAAAGTCATTCCAAATTACAGTTGTTAACAATTTTAGGTCCAGGTTTAATACAAAATCCAATTTTTGCCTGTAGTACCACAAGCACAAAATTTATAAAGTTATTATTACTGACATTTAAATGAAACTAGTTTTGAATAACAAAAAAATCTACAAAATACAGATCTTGTTAAAAAAAAAATCAGTAACGAATAAACCCATTAGTAGAAACGTTTTGAAATTATAAATACGGACTTATTCTTCACCGTTCCATGTTCCATTATTTTGTTACTTTTCTTTTGTTCGTTTGTACGAGTAATGTGTTCATATTGTTACGACATAAACCCATACGCCTCCCCAGTACGACGCCTAAGGGTTCTAGTGTATATGGCGACGGGTGTAGTTTGTAAATTTGTGTTATTAAGAAA